TATACTGGACTGTGTCAATGGTTGTGTACTGGACTGTGTCAATGGTTGTGTACTGGACTGTGTCAGTGGTTGTGTACTGGACTGTGTCAATGGTTGTGTACTGGACTGTGTCGATGGTTGTGTACTAGACTTTGTCAATGGTTGTGTACTAGACTGTGTCAGTGGTTGTATACTGGACTGTGTCAATGGCTGTGTACTGGACTGTGTCAATGGTTGTGTACTGGACTGTGTCAGTGGTTGTGTACTGGACTGTGTCAATGGTTGTGTACTGGACTGTGTCGATGGTTGTGTACTAGACTTTGTCAATGGTTGTGTACTAGACTGTGTCAATGGTTCTATACTAGACTGTGTCAGTGGTTGTATACTGGACTGTGTCAATGGTTGTGTACTGGACTGTGTCAATGGTTGTGTACTGGACTGTGTCATGGTTGTGTACTGGACTGTGTCAATGGTTGTGTACTGGACTGTGTTGATGGTTGTGTACAAGACTGTGTCAAGTGGTTGTATACTGGACTGTGTCAATGGCTGTGTACTGGACTGTGTCAATGGTTGTATACTGGACTGTGTCAATGGCTGTGTACTGGACTGTGTCAATGGTTGTGTACTGGACTGTGTCAATGGTTGTATACTGGACTGTGTCGATGGTTGTATACTGGACTGTGTCAATGGTTGTATACTAGACTGTGTCAATGGTTGTATACTGGACTATGTCAATGGTTGTGTACTGGACTGTGTCAATGGTTGTGTACTGGACTATGTCAGTGGTTGTGTACTGGACTGTGTCAGTGGTTGTGTACTGGACTATGTCAAGTGGCTGTGTACTGGACTGTGTCAATGGTTCTATACTGGACTGTGTCAGTGGTTGTGTTCTGGACTGTGTCAATGGTAACAGATATGTTATTCCCAATTTCATTTTGTTTGTGGCCATGATGTAAGCCAAGACGTATGTTTATATTGTTAGTCGGGTTAATATCATTTGCTGAGGCAGACATGCTTGTGCCATCATCGTATTTTTCCCGCGTTTCGCTTGCTTTTCTGCCGCTAAAATGTGCCACCTCTGGTGATTCATCAAATAAATGGCTTGTGTAAAATATATATCCATATACCTCAACAAATGATACAGCTGACTGCAAGTAATAATGACAATATAAGTTTATGTTATTGAGTGCTTTCTAGTGGAGACGAACAAATCGTTGATCGCTTAGATCACACCATTCCTAGAATGCACATGCATGCGTCAACGCACATGCAAATTGCATGTGCGTTGAATTACTGGTGAGTACCGTCATTGCAGAGTACACGTGCAATGTGGATCCCTAATTGCAGCATTATAGCAATGTTAAGTGATGACCCAATCATATATGACATGGTAACTTTGAAATCAATATGACGCTTCGGGGAATTCATTACTTTCTTGCCCGTACTCATATCCGGTAAAATTTCTGTATTGTTCGGTGTCTTTATTAACAACCAACCTATGGGCACTATAGAAGTTGTTATCAATCTTATTCAAAATTTGAAACCTTTATTTATTGTTTGACACTGTTAAAAAGGGAAATTATTGCTTTAAATATTGTTGTTGATACAGTCCTCTTAAATCAATTAATTTTAAAGAGACAACATTTCTTGCATATTTGTATTTGTAAAACCTCTGTACTTTAATTTTCAACTAATCAGTTACCGAATTTAAATAATTTGACAGTCACAATATATCAAAATAAAAGTACGTAAATTTTGGGATAGTAGACTGACAGATGCTCATCGTTTCGTAGATGAATGGTTTTTGGGTTGTCCTGTGATACATCAGACGATTTCAACTATACCGTAGTTTGTTCACCTTTGTTTTTGTGTCCTTGTACAAGATGGAAGAGAAAATCAAATCAAAGCACACTATGCCTGCTAAAAATGGAATATACATGGTGGGCCCTCTTAGATGGGGTATCGGTACTGGGGTAATTATTACGTAATACTACCTTGTAGTATTCTGACCTTAAAGTGAAGTGCCTCAGTCTAGAGAATTTACGTTTATCTTATTTTGAAGTAGGTACTCAAATTTTTAGACAGTTTATGTTGTATTTTCGTGTATATGTTGTTAAACACAAACTTTGGTGCTTGCTTTAAACAAATTTATATTTATGTATATATATTTATAACAATGACCACGCTCGTAGCAACTCGTCCAAGTCCAAGTACTTAGCGCACATACTTTCCTATATTACTAACACAATATATAATTTACGAGTATTAGGTGAGATATGTCACTGTACATATATTAAGTTATGGTTCAGTATTTGAATTTTAACTCAATTGATCAGCAAAACATTGCTTGGGCTTCCTGTACGGTTTGAAATGACTAACAGGAATATGTAATTTTACTTCCTTGTTTATTCATTGTCTACCACCAAACATATCACATTGTATTCGTCAATTTAAAGTCACTAAATTATTCCGTTAAGACCAGATGAATAATTTTGTACGGTAATGTGTACAAACGCTGTAACACAAAGTTAAAATATAGTCGATTGTATAATATATATAACATCCATTCATGACAGGTACCATATGCCTTTGATTACAACGTTACATGTACTCCATACTGATAATTTCTCTTCACACGTCCTTTATACTGAACCATAATGGTATTTAATAAACCCTTTTCCTAATTTGTCACTTAAATCCACAAGAGATAATTGCGTCAGACTGACTTCCTGAGTAGAATTAGGGGGTCAGCATTTGGACAAACTACGCGAGATTCTAATGGGAAAATAATTATTACATATTGTATTATTGATTATTTCACGTTCTTAGTTTGACTTGTGTAATTGCCTCACAGCAGGAGAATACATGTTGGCCCACTCCATCAATATTATGCTACTTTTTTCGTATCAATACTCAGTTTAGCCATTCATTATAATATTCGTTTCACTCTCTCAACTCATATGCACGTTCTTACCAATTACAATACATCAATTACGTCGTCATATACTATATTATTATCATTAATTTGCATAAAATAAAATTGTCAACTGACAACATATGATCACGTGATTAGTGTTGCAAAGGCAAATACCAAATCGTGATAGTAATGTACACCGGGTTTAGACACTAGTTGATTTCTCGATGCATATTAATTGGCTGATTTGCGTTTTCACTATTTAATGATAACAATTGTTTCGCCGATATTGAAAAAGAAAAACAATTATATAATTCGGGTGGGATATATATCAAAACGAATCATATAGCCTGATGTTTTGTACGAAATGTGCGATCCGTGATAGGACACCTTAAGTGGATATCCACTTTTTGACAACCCAGTGTTCCAATAGTGTTAAATGTTATTATAATTATGTGTATGTTGGTTATCTTCTATTAAGACAGTAACTGATTTCATCTATTGACTGTCCCATCTGTTTGTTTGTAAACGTAGCATTTGGTGTTTTCACTCGGCGAAGTATTACGATGTTGTCAGTCATAAAAACTGTTGTCATCTAAAGCCCAAGTGAAACTAATTAATCTTGAATGAACAAAAATGGAGATCACTATGTGAAAACATTGTGTTAAAATCTACAATATATTTGTCAATTTCACACATTGTTAATACATGTACGGAAAATGTATATCCACATTGTATTCGCCCTTGATACAACATCATACAGTTATATAATTTTAACAAATGTGTCGTCTTACCTCGTGAGACGGGAGTAGTTACTGCAGATCGTATGATCTTGGTTAAGAACGTTCAGAACGGCGTCACTGTATCATTGAATATATTGCCCACTGTGCATATTTTCTCAGAGCCGATCGACTGCATGACTATTACGTTTGAGTGACACCATGACCGGATAAGCTCTTTCGATAATGGTGTATTCAAGATAGGATTTCCCAGGCAGCACCGCGCGTATTGTATCGTATTAGGGTCGCGTGGTTTTCCGTGTTTAGAACAATGACGAATAACTGAGACTTTTTAGGTTGTATGCATGGGTCTTTCATGTATGATCGACACCACTCAGTAAGTCTGTCGAACGTTGCGCCATATGCAGATTTTGTCTGTAGTGTAACCCCTTCCAATCATTTATGATGACGTTTAACTGGAGTGCTCATTGTTAAATTGTTTTATTCTGACATATCTATACACAGATGTTTGTTTTATGTGCACTCAGCTCTTACATGTTTCGTAAATTATAAAAGAACTTTGGGATAAATTGATGAAAAAGCTATCGCGTGTGTACAATTTCCCAGAACAATGAGCATTACAGGTTCCTATGTTATTGTTCTCACTACGTTAGTGGCATAACATCCATTCCTTGAATAACGTCACCACGCTGCCCGTGAAAACAAATCACAGATGCTCATTGAGAAAACACTACGTCACGTTGATGTATTCACAGAAGTATTAGCGTTCTAAAAACAAACTAATTAATCTTGTATAGGTAATACAAGGCAGGTTTACTTTTTATGGCAATGAATTTCAGATTTGATCCATTAGCAATTGCCTATTAAAGGCTGCCTTTGTGATTAATTTGATATATCAATTACACGAATAATTCAGGTAAGTAATTCTGTACTGAGATTGACTTTTCCACTTTCATTTAAAAAAAAGTGCCATGGGGCCGTGTTTTGAATTTACCGGCGACAGAATGGAATTGCTCTGTGGCGTTTATAATCTTGGTTGAAGAAAATCGAAGTGAGAAATGAAATGACACTAACTCCAATTGTCAGTCCCATTTACATGTATACGTATTGGATTTCTATGTGTATTGGTTTTTTGAGTGCGTCAAGTCATATATTTCTAATTGTGTTTCAGTGTTTACCGTTCCGGTTATTTGTCTCTCTCCGGGTGATTCCTGAACTGAATACAACATGGCGTGTGAGTGACGTCGGTGGCAGTGTCGTCATCAGGAAACGACTGTCACATGCCCCGTTTTAACTGTATGCTGATGCTTGATAAAGCATGTTCGCAATCGTGGAATATATTCGAAAATTTTGATGTCAAGAACGTAGAAATGAACATCATATATATATCTTATGTCAATGTTTTTTAGGATATTGATAATGCGTACATGTCTGTGTGATACATAGGTAATCAACAGCTGTTACCACTGCATCTGATGCTAGGCATGGTTCATTTGTACCATCAATACATGTACACCGATTACCTTGACTGGCATTTGTATGTGTGTTAATATGATATTTACATCAATATAATTAATATTTAAACTAAAATCTGTCATTCTGTGCCTCATTACATCCTTTATTATCAGTACATTTTATAATTGCTCCGTTGTGCTAGTTCTGTACAAAAATCGTGACAACAACTTCATTGTAGTCATTACAACTGCATTGCTTAGCGCTCGTTTAACGCTGTGTGCCTATCCTTGGGCCATCGATAGCAAAGTACTCATGTTATTATATGGTTTCATTTCAAAATGATTTTCCCGTCATTGTGCTGACACGAGAGGTGGCTCTCCCTCAATTCTCGTTAAAATGTCGGAGCGATAACTTCGCGTAGATTTCTTTAACTTAAAATATGAAATATAGTAGTAATGGAGGCTTCGGTGTACAAAATTAGTTTCTGAAAGAATATCATCAGTCGCGCTTGTACCCAATCTTCTGTTATGGCCGCAATCGCATGTGCGACATTCAGAAATCATTTTTCTAACAGAGACTATGCATTCGCATCCGGATCGCACTCCACATCTTGCCTAAAATTTGACATTTTCCCGGATTTGCATACTTATACAAGCATATGAAAGCGATGGCGGAATCTTCAGAAACAATACTGTACATTTCCTTTACAAATCATACGGTTAGTTTTATAGTGACTTTAACTACACGCTTAGGCATACTCTGTGCTGGGGAATGATATTAGACATTGTCCCTAAGTGTTTG